CCAATTTTGTGAGATGGACCAACTAAGCATGATAGACCTTTCTTTTAATTTTCTTTCGGGTCAAATCCCACACTGCTTTGGTAACTTGACACTAGAGGTGACCGAGGAGAAGTCTGGATGGGTTGAAGAAGTATTCACTTCTTCACTTCAAACACTCTTGTCTTACATGGATGAGGTTGAATTAGAAACGGCCTGTCACGTGTTTCCACTCGAAACTGGATTTTTCAGATTAAATGATGTGCCAATTACAGGGAAATTCATAACAAAGAGAAATTCTTATACTTACAAAGGTAGCATCCTCAATTACATGTCAGGAATTGATTTGTCTTCTAATAAATTACATGGTAAAATTCCAGATGGCCTTGGAAATTTAAGTGAGATTCACTCACTCAACTTGTCGCACAACTATCTTATTGGAACAATTCCAAAAACATTCTAAAACCTACATCAGATTGATAGCTTTGATCTCTCCTATAACAACTTAGGTGGGAGGATCCCCACTGATCTGATCAAGTTAAATGTTTTGGCAGTCTTTAGTGTGGCACATAACAATTTAGCAGGTATGATACCAGAGAAAGGTCGGTTTGGAACATTTGATGAAGGTAGCTATCAAGGAAATCCTTATCTTTGTGGCCGTCCATTACCTAACGACTGTACTAGCACCGGATCAACACCTGTCTTGCCAACTGTTGATAATGAAAATGAGAAGTGCAGTTTCATGGACATGGAGTTCTTCTACATAAGCTTCATCATATCTTATTTATCTGTAGTGTTTTGCATTGCTACAGTTCTATTCATAAATCCTCACTGGAGAAAAGCATGTTTTCATTTCATTGAGGTTTATATAATTCATTTTTGAGGCCATGTCTTCTGGACAATATTCCCATTTTCCAAGTCAAGGTATCTGCTTTAATTCTCTATGAAGTTAATTATATACTATACTAACTTTTATAACTAATATATATTTACAATCTATCTAATTAATGTTGTAATTTTCTCTTTCTAGATTTGATAACTCGAAAGTAAAGACGCAGTAGAGCCAAATATAAAAGCATGGTAGGAAGCCAAGATGGCTATGTGTATGCATATTCAATCATGAAAGTGTGAAATGATTTTCAATACTGTACTTGTATTAATAGATGGGAATGTGATTTGTTTCCAAGCTAAATGTTTTTTGTTTGCGAAAAATAGTAAGGAGAAACGTGGCATTTGATTTCTAAAATAGCAATTGAGTATCAAACATTAATTTGATAAAAAGATTTATATTAGAGCTTCTTTTTCCTCCATATCTAGAATTTGTGCAGTATTTCTGAGTCGAATTTTGTCAAAGAGAGAGTGTGCTACCTATTGATCAGTTTGTTATTCTTGTTATCAAACGTAATTGTATCTTGGAGGGATCCTTTTTGGACTCTTCTTCTCCGGATGCAAATTTTCTTCAAAGCATTGAGTAATGACTTCTCTAAAGGTTTTTATCTTTGGCTGGGTGTGGAATCAATGGCACCCTTTCCAACGAGGTAAAATGGATTATATAAACCTCAATGGAATGAAAACATGCTTTTCTCCAGTGAGGATTTATGAATAGAACTGTAGCAATGCAAAACACTACAGATAAATAAGATATGATGACGCTTATGTAGAAGAACTCCATGTCCATGAAACTGCACTCCTCATTTTCATCATCAGCAGTTGGCAAGACAGGTGTTGATCCGGTGCTAGTACAGTCGTTAGGTAATGGACGGCCACAAAGATAAGGATTTCCTTGATAGCTACCTTCATCAAATGTTCCAAACCGACCTTTCTCTGGTATCATACCTGCTAAATTGTTATGTGCCACACTAAAGACTGCCAAAACATTTAACTTGATCAGATCAGTGGGGATCCTCCCACCTAAGTTGTTATAGGAGAGATCAAAGCTATCAATCTGATGTAGGTTTTAGAATGTTTTTGGAATTGTTCCAATAAGATAGTTGTGCGACAAGTTGAGTGAGTGAATCTCACTTAAATTTCCAAGGCCATCTGGAATTTTACCATGTAATTTATTAGAAGACAAATCAATTCCTGACATGTAATTGAGGATGCTACCTTTGTAAGTATAAGAATTTCTCTTTGTTATGAATTTCCCTGTAATTGGCACATCATTTAATCTGAAAAATCCAGTTTCGAGTGGAAACACGTGACAGGCCGTTTCTAATTCAACCTCATCCATGTAAGACAAGAGTGTTTGAAGTGAAGAAGTGAATGCCCCTTCAACCCATCCAGACTTCTCCTCGATCACCTCTAGTGTCAAGTTACCAAAGCAGTGTGGGATTTGACCCGAAAGAAAATTAAAAGAAAGGTCTATCATGCTTAGTTGGTCCATCTCACAAAATTGGTGAGGAATTGTACCTTCAAAATGGTTATTGCTGAGAAGAATAATGCTTAGGTGTGATAGATTGCCAATCCATTGAGGGATATTTCCGATGAACTTATTATATCTAAGATCTAATGACACTAAAGAAGAGCTATTATAAAATGCATACGTGAGCTCACCCTCCAATTGGTTATTGCTCAGGTAGACATGATGTATTCTTGATGGATTGAAGCAAGATGGGATTGAACCACATAACTTGTTCTCAGATAAATCTAAGAGGCTAAGATTATCGAGATTGCAAATTTCCTTCGGGATTGGACCCTTAAGCTAGTTGTTAGACAGAGAAATTTGATCCAATGCTATCATATCGCCTACTGATTTAGGAATTTTGCCCGACAAACGGTTGTTACTAAGGTCTAACACTAAAAGAGGGATGGTTGACAAGCTCTTTGGAATGGTGCTTGAGAACTCGTTGCTATCCAGATATAAATTGTTCAAGAACTGTAGGTTGATAGATTCTGGAAATATTTGTCCTCGCAATTTATTATCCGATAATTTTAGTAAATGTAGAAAAAAGCATCCCATAACTAATTCCTGCAGAATTGTGCCTGACAAATTATTGTTGGACAAGTCTATATACCTTATAGATTTTAAGTCATCGAAACTGGAAGGTACACAACCGTCAAACATATTTGTTGACATGTTTAATGCAAATAGGTTTGGAAAAATTGAAGTCATATTAGTTGGAACATGTCCATTGAACTTGTTATTAGATACATCAAAATTCTCCATGTTGGGATTGATGCATGTTGGCAACTTGAGAGGTCCTGTAAAAGCATTATCCATCAGGTATAATCCCTTAAGTCTTGTGTTGTTCTCCAACAACCAAGTTGGAAAATTCCATCCTATGCTGTTATTTGAGAGATGAAGAATTCTCAAATTGAATTGATAGTAGAGGAAGCTGGGTAGTGATGGACAACCTCTTGAGTTTAGCATACTAAAAACCTCTAGATGAAAATTGGGAACCAAATTTCCCAACTCGTCATTTATTATTTCATTGTTTTCCAAAAATAAAAAATTAAAGCTGGAATGATTAAAGAATGCCTTGAAAGAAATTGGAACTTGAAAGTTGTTACTTGAAATGGAGATATATTCAAGCGATGTGAGTTTCGTAAGTGGAGAGGAGGCAATATTTCTGGTGAAAGTATTGTGTAAGAGTTCAACCAATCTAAGAGATGTCATGTTTGCAACACATGAAGGAAGTATTCCTTCATACTCATTCCATCTAAGATCTAACTCTTGGAGGTTTTTAAGTTCACACAACCCTGCTAATCTAAGGAATAAAATTAGCACTTCAAAACCCACCAATGAAATAGGGAATATCAGGGCTTTGCTTATAAAAAGAAAGCAAATTTTTTGTCTCCAAACTTACTTTCAAGTAAGAAAGTTTCTTTTTAAAAGTGATTTTTTTTATTGGTGAAAGACGACTATAAGTCACTTATTTTGAATGTAACTATTGACTTACTTATTTCCTATCTCACCAATAAAAAAAGCTATAGATTGTAAAATATAATTAGTTTTAACTATGTAATGTTAGCCGAACCTCTTTAAATTATATTAATTATAAAGTCCTAATTGACGAAGTTCAATACTTTTTTTTGATACAAAAGAGATGTTCTGGTTCATTTTTATTTTTCACATTTTTTTTAATCTATATTTGATAGTGAGATAATCAATATTGATTGTTTTCTGAAAAATCTTGTAGTAATTTTCACAATCATGAGAGGACTTTGCATTCATTAAACAAAAGTTCAATTGAGAAGCAAGAAAAGTTATAAAATTGTGAAAATGGAAATAATTGAAGAAACAATTTCTTAGTCAGCATGCTAAGTCAAGAAAAACATTGTTTACCAAACATGCCATTAACGTTTACCATGAACGGGAATGGTGCCATTGAGTCTGCATCGGGACGAAGATAAAATCTTGAGGGATATGAGTGCTCCAATACTTTGTGGAAAGTTCCAATCCACATTAGAATTATCCAAGAACGGTCCCTCCATCAGTCTTAAATGTCTCAACTCTTATACGTGAAAGCAATGGAATGTGCACGAGAATTGGAGTTCATATTGCAATTAGTATTATAATTTATGTAACCAAGAATTACAGCTCTTTTGGCTTACCATAAGATCCAAGTGCTTGAGGTAAGAGAATGCCCTCAAAGATTGCACCATGTGTGTTAGGAAATATGTAATTGGCAAATCTGTGACCAAGGACCAAAATGTAATAATTGTAAAGTCAAGGATTAAAATGTCATAATTGTAAGGTCAAGGACCAAAGTGTCAAATGTCCAATAGTTCAGGGACTTGAGTTGCAATTAATCAAAGTGTTGAAGGCTAGGTCTAGGGTTGTGATGGATGCCTCGAAGTTGCAAACGGTGCGAGATTTCGCTAGAGTCACGCCATGATATCGCTCGAGCTAAGATTGCAGAACCATTGTCGCTAGAGCCTCGCTAGCAGGTCGCTCGAGCGAAGTGGACGTCGCTCGAGTCACGCTGGTCCCTCGCTCGAGCGACCTATTTATCTGGGCAACATTAAATTTAAAAGCTCGCGAATTTTTGACGCGCCACAAGACCATATGTTGAGCCATATAAATACCATTCGTCTCCTTCGAGTTGATTATGGAGAAAATACACATTGAAGCCATATTATTGCTTTACTCTAAAATCCTTGGAGATTAATCCTTTATATCTTTCACACCAAGGTTCAAAAAGAAAAACAATCTTCTAAACTCTTCAGATTAAAAAATCCTTGGCTTTTGCAGAAAAACATCACACCTTGAAACACCAAAACACCACCTTCTCTAAATCCTATAAAACTTCCA